GCGGGCGCCGGGGGCGGGGCCGCGGCGCGCTGACGTATCCCTACGTGCCGCCGTCGTCAGGGAGCCGAGATGCGGTTGCTAGGAGCGACCGCGTCGTCGCTAGGGGACACTAAAGATGCTGCGGGGGACAAGGGATGGAATCCACGAGGGAGGGGCGGGGCCGGATGGGAGAAAAGAAAGACGAGGGAAGGCGTAAAGGGAGGGGAAAGGGGTGAGGACCCAGGAAGAGGAAATGGAGGTGTCACCGATGAAAAGGGGAGTGGCCGAGGTGGGGCAGAGGACGGTCGGGAGATTGTCAACAACATTTAATGAGCTCCCTGGGCGTCTCCAGCCTTCTCCTAGGCGCTCCAAGGGACAAGGAAAGAGAGAGATACCGTCCCTGTCCTGTAGGTGTTTACAGTCTAGTTGTGGAGACAAAACAAATATACATTAAATAGCTAAAAAGCTACTCCAAGGCAGCTTGCAAGCAAGGCTGTAATAGATACGTATAGAGTGTACCTAGAGTGCTCTGTGTGTAGTAGGGAAGGTCAAGCAGAGTTTGGAAGGTCGTGACCCCGCAGGAATTAGTCAAGAGGTTAGTAAGGAGGCTCTTTCCTCAGAAAGAGAAACAAGCATCACTGACCCCAGTGGTTTGCCTTTAAACACAGCAACATGAGTGCAAAGCTCCGTGAGACTCAGTATGCACGGCCGTAGGCAGTTAAGAGTGGGCGCCATGGATTCCAACTTTTGGCCCTGCTACTTACAATGTATCAAGGTAAGCAAGCTGATAAACTTCTTTTCACCTTTAATTTTCTCATCGGTGAAGTAGGGGTGGTAATAGTAGTACCCAGCTCATCAGGCAATTGGGAGGATTTAAATGAGATAGAACTGGGTCTGGTATATAACTCTTTCGATAAAGTTTAACCATTATATTTCAAAACATCCTGCCCAGACTTAAATTCTAAATTGGTAGAACCGATATGGTTATGGTCTGCTCCATGTTGCCATTTTAAAATATAAAGGTAATTATACTAATTTAATGTGTCACCCAAGTTAAGTTCTGAAAGATTTAGATACATTCTCAGGGGATAGATTTATAACAAGTTTTTAAAAGGAAATCAAGAAAGCTCAAGATATGGCTCTAAACTTTCTCAGTCAAAATCATTATTTCTACATTCTTCCACAAGACCGTCAGTGACAGATTAGTAGGATGGTTGGATATTACAGTATTTAAGTTCTTCCAAAAGGCAGGCTCCCTGTCTTTGGGTAGTATAAAGGTGACTGAGGATATGGAACTATACTCATGGAAAAGTGATAAGAACATGTATGAAGCACAGATGGCAATGGATATGCTTCATGCAGACCAAGTGCATAAGATGCCCTGGATCATTGTGTGTGATGGATAGCTTTTATATGGCCTTTCTCACAATGTTCTTATTACTCCCACCAAAAGGTTGTGTGGGACTATGCAAATAAGTATCTGTGGCCCCCCAAGGGGATTGGACAACTTGCTAATAATACAAATAAGGTACATGGCACCCTTGTCGGGGTGGGACCATGCAAATAAGGTGTATGGAACCATAATGAGAGGATTGGTCAGTTTTGCCATCCTCCTAGGCTTAAAATGAGCCATCCCAGAGGTGGAAAGGGGGGAGCTCCCTACCACTAAGAAAGAAGAGATGGGAGCTGAGCACATTCCTTGGATCCAGGATCCCTGTGCTGAGAACCTCCTAGACCCAGAAGACAGAGATAGAGAGCTGTAACACCGGAGATGGTGAGAAGCAGTGCCAGAGAAACAGAGGCAGCAGAGGCAGCAGAACCAGGAGACCAGCAGGAGACAGCACAGTGGGTTTCCCGGCACACAGAGGGAGAAAGCTGAGCACCTTCAGGCAGGAGGCTTCCTGGCAGAGTGAGGTGCCTCCAGGCACTTGTCAGTGGAGCTAAAGAGCTTCATAACACTTGCCCTAGCAGGGCAGAAACTGGGCTGAGGGCCAAGGGGCTGAAGGGGCTGAGAGGCTGAGGGCCAGGGAGAGGCTAGCCTATGGGCATGGCTGAGAAGCTGTCCTGACCAAAGAATGTATCCTGAGTCATTTCCGATCCTGAGTTGTAACCTGTTACTCCCCTAATAAACCCCATAACTATAAGTATTGTCTGTGAGTTCTGTGTAGCCATTACAAGGAATTATCCAACCCAGAAGAGAAGTAGAGAGTGCCATGGGAAGGACAGTTGGTGTCAGAATTGGTAAAAAGGTTGGAGAGAGGAGGCACATCTAACCTCTGCCTCATTGCAATCAGCCTTGGGCAGTTGATCTTGATTCTTCTTCCCCCTTGTGAAGAGAGAGGTGGTCAGATGCCCCCGCCATGCCATTTTTACAGCTGAGTACTTACAGAGTATTGATGTAATATTGGATTTGGGCAGTTGTCATTGGACCCCAACCTTATAAAATGCATATACTAAGATATAGGAAAAAATGGGGGCTAAGTGAGCTGAAAGGGAGTTAGGATAATATTTAGAGGCAAAGCTGGGTTCTCAAATCATGACCTTCCCATCCCAGAACACACTGCAGACCCTTCGTGATGGCCATCTGGAATCACTGCTCTGAGGACACTCTTCCTACTCCCTCCTCCTCCCCCATGAGGACCTGGCAGGCTTCACAGCAATAACAGAGTAACTTTTGTTCTCCTCCTACCGTGCACCTTTAGCCCTGTCTCCTTGACCCCTGATAACCTGACATTTCTTGGGTACCAGTTGTAGATCAGGCGCTGTGCTAGGCATTTTCACCTATGTTATCTTGTTCATTATCACACCCTGAATATAGGTGTAGTGAAACCCATTTTAGTAATGAGGAAATAGGGCCCAAGGAATTCAGCAGATAAGGTTACAAGCTAGTGATGGCTAGAACCAAGATCTCCTGACTCTAAGTGCTAGGGGATTCTGTCATTACGGTTGCTGAAGGGAGTCCATGTCTGTGTGTACCTCGGCGGGGGGGATTATGGGGGTGCGAGTAGGTAGACTGAAGAGGCAGGACAGTGCAGGCCCGGAAATGCTCATTTTATGTCAAAAATCCAAGTGAATTTTACATTCTACTCCAGCTTATGCCTGTGTTTGTTTAAATATGAAAATAAATGTCCTTCTCTCCCTAATTGTTGGGTGGAATTGGCCCTCCAGGAAGACGCGCCATGTTTATTCTGCAGCTTCTTGTAATAATGGCTAATAATAGCCACCATTATTGAGCCGTGACTTCACGGCAGGTACCCTACTAAGTGCTTTACATGGATTATCTGCCTTAGTCTCACACTAGCCCTGTGATGGGGGGAGAATGGTCCCCCTTTGGTGAAGCACCATGCCGCGCTGTGCTGCCCCCTACTCCCCCCAGAACCTGCCAGGTGGTAGGTAGCAGTCCTTGATTGCAAATGCTGACCTCGCCCTCCTGAGCAGTGAATCAGGTCACGCCTACGTGTGTTGCCCTGCTGACTGTCCCCTTGAAGCTCACTGGCTGCTTAGGCTGATTCCGGTAAGAAGTTCCATACTTCGAGCTAAGCCTCTGTAAAATGTTCCCAGGTGGCTGGCTGATATAGAAATAAGAAAAGAAAAGCCACACTTACGGCAATATTTATGTGGTGGGAAGCCCCACGGAGCCCTGGTGGCACAGTGGTTAAGTGCTCGGCTGCTAACCTAAAAGTCGGCGGTTTGAACCCACCAGCGGCTCCGTGGGGGAAAGACGTTAACAGTCTTCATCTGTAAAGATTTACAGCCTAGGAAACCCCATGGGGCAGTTCTACTCTGTCCGCTAGGTCGCTATGAGTTGGAGCTGACTTGATGGCAACGAGATTTTACCTTGGTGCCGAGTGTGCTGCCTGGCAGAGCATTGGCACTCAGTAACGTGGCATATTGGTTAAAGGCCTGAGATTGCTGTACCTCCACTTGGTCAGTATCCCCCCCACACACATACACACACACCCAACAAGGTGAAGCTGGGGTTGGGGAGCAGCATCTTTGTCCTCTCCTGCCCGTTCTCAGATGTGAGATCTATCGCCAAGCTCTTCCAAGTGCCCCCAGTTGGGCATTTAGAAGGCCAAGAGGCTCAGTAAATTTCTCCCAACCTCCTGGGGTCCTTCAGTGACTCAGACCCGGGGGGCTCTGGGCAAGGTTCGAGGCTCGACTCCTGGCCAGACCCAGCACCCTCAGCCACGATCTCTGTGCGCCCAGGCAGCTAGCGGGGTGAAGGTGGGTGCTTCTCCCTTTTCCTAATTGCTAGGGGGTTAACTGTTGCCGTCGAGTTGATTCCGACCCAGAGCGACCCTACGTGTGTAGGGGCTAGGAAGGAGAAAAAAAGACTGAATCCCCCTCAGAGAAATCCCTGTTCTCTCAGAGCCCCAACACCCAGCCCTTTGCGGGTAGTAGGGATGCTTCTCTGCTTCTCGAAGAATTTCGCTTATTTACAAACGAGGCAAACAGAAACAGAGCCAGCCTGGCCACTCCCCTTGTGAAGGGGCGGGCAGGGCGCAGGGGCAGCCGAGTGAACTCATCTTGGGGAAGCAGGCCCTGTCTTGTTCCTATCTTTACTGGCCAGACCCACAAAGTGACCTCAGGCCAGACCACTGCCCCCTGGGGGAATCCCAGACTGCTTGGCCTCTCCAAGCTTCACTCCTTCCACCCTGGAGTGGGTGTTTGAGGGTTCCAGGGTACCTTCAGCACCAGGAGCTACAACTGGGAAGGTGGCAAAGGAGGAGAGCTGCCCGGGGGGCGGGGAAGGGCTCCCATGCCCCCGTGTGGCCAGCTGGAGAAAGGCCCCTGCTTGGGGCTCCAGCTGAAGGCTACTCAAGAATTGTGGCATTTTTACTCCTGCGGTTCACCATCAGCCAAAGATTAGACAGGCCCATAAAACAAAACGAGACTGAATAGGCGCACCA